CTGGCAGGTTCGCTGGGCTCCTAACCTTTGTCTCTCTCTGGTGAATCCCAGGACGGAACCCAGGGTGAGTCTCCTCTGAGGAGTTCTTGCTGACTCCCAGGTGGGGTCAGGTCCCCGCTGTACCTCTGTCTGCTTAGCACTGACCGTGGTGACCTGCCACCACTCATTTGTCAGTGATCCCAGGGGTGTAGGGGCCCCCAGACAGGCATGGGCCAGGCGCCTCTTTGTCCCCATGGCTGAGCACAGGGGATGCTGAGCACCAAGAACGTGCTGGAGAATACATGAATGAACAAATGGAAAGGAACCCTCCCTGCCCTGGGCAGGCTAACACATCCACAACCTGCTTTGCCCATCTACTCCCACCCCTACCCATCAGCACTCCTCTGGTTAAACACGGAGGGTGTGCAGGTGGCTTAGAATTGAAGCATCTACAGAATCACAGTGGAGCCCAGAGACTTCCCGGCTCACCAGGCCCTCACTGAGCCTAGATCTATAAACCAGGCACTGCCTGGGCCAGGGCCCTCGTGCCAGGGAGGGCAGCTGCAGCCTGCCACAGCGTTCACCCTGCCCTGCCCTATTGGGCTGTGCTCAGCAATGAGGAACCCAGAACGCTGGCTCCAAAGCTTCTCCTGACCTGGCATCCACCCTGTGGATTTCCCCACAGCTGGAAAACCCTTCACAGGTCAAGCTGAGAATCGAATCTCTTCACCCACGCAGAAGCCAACCCACTCTCTTCTATACTGTTCGCAGGTGTATGCCCTAGCATCCTTTCTTCATGCCGCTCCTCTGTTCAAGAACCATCAATGGGTACCGCTTGCCCCTAACATCAAATCAGAGCTCCAGGGCAGGAATCAGGGGCCCGTGACTAAGCTCCAGTCTCTGTCTTGGACCTTGTCCTGTCCCACTCCAGCCAGCTCAGTCCTCACCAGGATTCTGGGACCACCTCTCTCTCCTCCCCTCCTCTAGGGCTTAGCCTATGCATGCCTGTGCCCAGAGACCCTGGGCCTTCATCCTACCTGTTCACCCTTTACCCTATCCTAGCTCGCAACCTTCCGCTCTTCTATTGGGTTGTCAGGAAAGCCACGACACATTCTGGCATAGAAAAACATAGAAAAAGTCCCGACTTTCCCAACGACCTAACAGTTCTTGATAACCCATTTAGGAAAAAAAAACCTAAGCCCTTCTGCACTTTAGAACCACCAGGCAGGCTTATTCAAAATTTAGACCATCTCAGACCTTTCTGAGAATAGTTTTAGGACACTGGATTTTTTTTTTTTTTTTTTTTAATTTCTAGAGGGCTCATACATGAGAGAGTGCAAGAGGAAGAGTCCCCAGTGGGACCTGGTCACACCGTAATCCTTTGTCCTCCATTTTTCTATCCTGTACAGACTTGGGGCACTCACACATGCATGCGCACACCTGGCATGTTTTTCAAGTGTCTGGGGCTGGGGTTTGAAGCATGGCCGGCTATGTGGGGCCCAGTCTCCCCTAGCATGACACTTAGCCACTGCACTGTGGAGTCAACCCAAGGACGCTGGGTATTTAACGCTGCCCAGGAGAGTGCCTGATCTGCCTTTGAGAAGCACCGATGGTACGGTGCTTGGAAGCCAGCCTGAGTCTACACCGGCTCCTGCTGTCTACCCATCACGCACATTCCCCTCATCTCTGCAAATCATAGTAATAATAACTCCCGTTTGCTGAGGGCTTGCCAGGTGCCAGGCACACGCCTCATCATCCCAGCATGCCCACCAGCACAGTAGTATCAGCCCCATCTTATTGATAAGGAAATTGACGGCCAAAGAGGCTCCCTCTCTCGGCAGACCTCACGGAGCTGGCCGGTGGGGAAGCCTGGCTGATTGCTTCACAGCCGGTGCTCCTTGTCCCTGGTCGTCTGTGCACCTGGGCCAGCCTTCACAGCCGGTGCTCCTCCTCCCTGCTCGTCTGTGCACCTGGGCCAGCCTTCACAGCCGGTGCTCCTCCTCCCTGCTCGTCTGTGCACCTGGGCCAGCCTTCACAGCCGGTGCTCCTCCTCCCTGCTCGTCTGCACCTGGACCAGCCTTCACAGCCAGTGCTCCTCCTCCCTGGTTGTAGGTGCACCTGGGTCAGACTTCACAGCCGGTACTCCTCGTCCCTGCTCGTCTGTGCACCTGGGCCAGCCTTCACAGTGGCACCTAATTCCGTTTAGTGTGGTTCAATTAAATTCTGCTCCACCAAACCACCGTCCTCTGCTTTTGCTAAGCCTGGGCATATAAATACAGGTGGGGAGAGCTGTCCTCTTACTCCCTCCCAGTCAGTGGGGAGACCCACACTCACATAAGAGGCGCTGGGAACTGAGTGGGGCACTCCAATGGGAAAGACTCAGAAGGGGATGGAGAAGAGATGCCTTCTGCCCTGGGAGGGCAGTGCAAGGCCAGTTCAGCAGCCAGGGAACAGGTGGAGCTTGAGCCAGGCCTTACGGGAGTTAGAAAAGGGGATGAAGAGCATCCAGGCAGAGGGAACAGCCTGAGCAGAGGCAGGATGGCGTGAAAGGTCAAACTTCACACGCTGTGGTGCTGGGGAAGTGGTGGATGATTCATCTGGAAAGGGCACTTAGCGCTGGATCATGAAGGGCCTCAAGTTGCCAGGGTGAAGGCATGATGTTTACCCAGTGGGCAATAGGGAGTCACCGAAGGTGTGGGAGCAGGGCGCTGTCTTTCTCCTGTCTTTACTAGGCCAGAGCAGCCACGTGCTACTGAATAATTCCTACCAGGAAGGGAAGACCCTCCCCTCCATTTGGCCCCTTCTCTGGAAACGTGCCAAGTCCGTCTCCACACCTGTACACCCACCTTGCAGGTCATGAGGATGCAATGACGGCAGGGCATTGCTGAGTCGTGCTGTTATGTGTGAACTGGGTGGTGCAGTGGAAAGAACACGGGCCCCGGGGTCTGAGTACCAGCTCTGCCCCTGCAGTGCCCGTCTGTACCTGGGGAGGAGGAAATGCAGAGAGACAGCTCACATGAAGACCAACACTCGGCAGGTGCTCGGCAGTGCCTTCCCTAACCAGGCACGGGGTGATCTGGCTCCTCCTCCAGGTTCCCGGCCTGCCATCACTCCCTGCCACCCTCACTCAGAGCCCTAGCCTCCTTCCTGTGCTTGCCTTAGCTCCCGGTCACCTGCTGTCACTTACCTCTCCTCCGGACCTAGCACGCTGCAGATGTTCCATATACCTGCTGCCCAGAGCTTTCTCGTGCGTCTTCCTCATGAGCCCACTCACCTGTTATCTTTTTAGTAAGCAGGACAGACTAGATTTCCACCGTGTAGGTGAGGAGACCACGATGTAGAGAGGGAGGCAGGAGGCAGACACTGGGCACCTACGACGAGCCGGAGGCAGCGCACCCCGCAGCATTATCCTCCCACTGTGTAACGTCCAGTGTTGGGGTTCAGGAGGGGTGCTGACTTATCTGAGGCCACACAGCCAGAAACCGGGAGAGGCTAAGTTTGCACATGAGGAGACTGAATTCCATGGAGACAACCAGACAGGACGCACCACCCATAGCTAAGTGGGGACCGGGGAAGGGCAGGTGGAATCCGGGACCGTCATGGGCAGACCAGGCATGGGGTCTCCCCACGGTGCAGGAAGTTGACAGGGAGCCATGTCTCTCCACAGCCCACAGCCCCCTGAAGGCTCCTGGGCCAGGGGTAGCATCTCTCTGCTGGCAGGCCTGGCGACCAGAGGTCTCGTTCACGCCGAGGGCCCCTGTAGCTGTGGCTCAGGGTGTGGGGCCACTCCTGGCAGTTACCCCACCCAGCCGCCCATACAGTCATGCCACTGTGGCTGGTGCTCACCCTCCGGAGAGGCCCGTGGTGCGACCAGCATGCCTCATTCATCCTGCCCGAGGGGAACTGGTGATTTTATAGAGAAGAATGCAAGTGAATGTTGAAAACTTTTATTTCAGCCCGGTGCCAGTGACCTTTCTGACGTGGGTCACAGGCCTCCCCGCCTCATCAACAGAGCACAGGAGCACGCTACGCCTGGCCCCGTCCGAGGCCTCAGGCCACAACAGGAGCACAGCAGAGACCGGGGCCCAGGGGCACCTTCACTGCAGAGGGGGGAGGTGACCCAGGAAGGGGAGGGAGTGTGCTCCAGGGAGCATGCCCATCTGACTCGGCTCAGGGGAGTATCTCCTTCCCTGAGAGGACTCCTCAGCTTCAATCCAGACGCCAAGCCAGGAGAAGGGCCCCCACTCCCAGGTCCCCAGTACAAGCTCTGAGTGTGCAGGCCTGCTTCGAGGTAGCCTCGCTGCCCTCTCCTCTGCAGCTGCCAAGTCAGCTGCGGGCACAGAGGGCATGGAGGGGCCACGAGGTCATAACAGGAGCGGTACTCTATGAGGCCACGACATGGCAACAGCTTCGGTCACCACCAAGGAAGCCCGGCCACTCGTCACTGGCTAGGTGGCCCCACGGGGTGTATGGCTGTCACTAGCTTTCTGTGACCTGACAGTTTGGACAGTCTGCTCCCACTCCAGCGTCCTTTCTGCCCTCTGTCTCGGAGCCAGGTCCCTGGACTGTGAGCCCCAGAGGGCAAGGGCCATATCAGCAGTGCCCATCTCTGTCCCCAACGGAACTCAGCTTCGTGTCTGTCACATCAAAGATGTCCAGGAAATGCCACCTGATTCGAAGCGAACTCCACCTGGAAGCCTAATTCCACCCACATTCCTGAACCAGTGGAAATGTACCCAGCCAGTGTGTGGGGCAGACGGTTGCTCTGGGGGCTTCTCGTCTGGCTTTGTGATGGGCCATTTAGAATTTTGAGCACCAAAGGGCCAGCTGGAGACATGGTGGTTAAAGTGGCTGGATGCCACACGGTCAACTGCGTGGTTCGAATCCGGGACCCAACAGCTTGAAAAACAAGTGGGGCACATGTGTGTACGTGCCCCAAATCCGAGAGGACAACAGAAGCCAGAAGGGATTGTGGTGTGGCCATGCTCCACGGAGGCTGCTTTCTCACTGTCACTCTCTCTTTCTCTGTCCCTGGGGAGCACACATACCCTACCACAAACAAAGGGAAAAAAATAAGAATTTTGAGTGGGCTGTGCATCTCAGTGCTGGGAATGTGGGGGATGGGGCATTATCTGCAGAGCTTCCTGGGCCCCATTTGATAACCACCGGCCCTGGGCCAGGCCCAGAGTGAAGCCACGATGCTGCCCTGAGCAGGGCAGGCGGCCGTGCCACAGGGGTGGACGTGCAAGGCCCAGGGGAGCACAGAGGCCAGAGGACATCCTCGTTCCAGAGGCGCTGATGCCAGGAAAAGCCGTCAGAGGGGTCGAACACAACGTTTGCCGGCTAGACACGGGGCCAAGGGCACCCTGCCAGAAAACAGCTTGGGCTAGGGGCCGGAGGGCTTGGGGTGGGAAGGACAGAGAGGATGGGGAGAGGCTGCCCAGAGATAAAGCCCAGAGGTCAACACGGGACACCATGGAAGGTTCCGGGTCCTGGTGAAGGAGCAATGGGAGCCCCAGGGGATGTGGGCGGGAGGAGACTCAGATAGCCCCGAGTGTAGATGGGTCACAGCGTCTCCCGGGAGGACTCAAAGACTCGACAGGAGTGGGGATCCTGGGCCTCCAAGGAGCGGGGGCCTGGGAGAGTAGCACCAAGGAGGGTCTCTGTCAGAGACAGCTTTGGGGCAAGGCGGAGAAGGCTTTTACGGGTCCCAGATCACCGTAACAAATCCTATTTTACCTTCACAGTTTCACCAAAGAAAAGTACCTACTGGGAGAGCCACGGTCCCTCAAGAGCAACGGCCCCCCCCTCTGTACTTCTTTACGGTCGAAAATCTCTGGGGTCCGTCGTGTTCTCTGATCTCCACATGATGCCATTTTGCAGATAGACACTGAGGCCCTGCGAGGTCACGGGGTTAGCAGCAGTGCCCAGCTATAACCCAGGGAGTGGGCCCACCTCAGCCCTGGGCATCCAGCTCAAAGCCCAGTTCCTGGTCTGGGAGGGGGTCCCCAGGGCTGTCCGGCAGCCCGTAGTACAAGTCTTCCTCTTCCTCCTCGGGCTCCACTACGTCTGGGTCTGAAGCCTTGGCCTTGGGGTCCCGCTGCTGCCCCTCTGGGAGTGCGTCCTCCGTGGGGGCATCGATCAGGGCAAAGTCGTGGAAGTGGTCCAGCGGGCACCTGCAGGCCCAGGGTTCCTGGGGTGGGGGGCGAGGCTCCTCCCCATCAGGTGGGGATGGGTTAGGGCTGCTGCCGTCACTGGAGCCCAGGTCTAGGTCATCCTGGAGGGAGGCCAAGGGTGCGGGGCCCTGGGAACAGCCTGGGGAGCTGCAGAGGCAAAAACACGAGGTGAGGGCACTGGGGTCAGACCGCCTGCGCCCAAACCCCAGCCAGCTGCAAGGCCTGGTCGGTTAGTTTACCTCCCGGGCCTCAGTTTCCTCCCCCATAAAGTGGGGAAATAATGGTATTTACTTCTGCAGTAGTTTCTGAGGTTTACAGCAGACAATGCATACAAAGCATTCCACACTAAGCCTGCATCTAGTAGCTGCTCAAGAAACAGACATTGTTATGTTACTATCCAAACCAGATCTCTCACCCACTTCTCTGGTCACTCTGGTCTCTGCAGCCCAGACACTCGTGTGCCCGCTTGTTTCCCTGTCTGGCTCCCTCATTGGACTGGGAGCTCCCGAAGGCCTGGCAGAGAGCAGGTGCCCGGTAATGTTGATAGAGTGAATGAGTAACTGGGTGCAGACAGATAAGGATGGTGTGTGACCTGCCTCAAGTCACAGAGCAGGTAAGCAGCAGAGCCAGGGTTTGAACTCAGGTCCTCTGGCTCCCAGCCTTCTAATGCTCACAATGATGGTTTAGAGAGAGTAAGGGCTGCCTGTGTGCCAGCCACTTCAATGCGTTGCCCTGACCCTCATCACAACCCTGCCTACCAGGGATGATTGTTCCCACAAGGGGAAACTGAGGCAGAGAGAGAAACCTGCCGGGGTTACACAGCAGAGGAGCTGACCCTAAGCTCCTTTGACTGCCAAGCCCGTATTCATTTCCCGTCACACCTGCGGCCTCCCAGAGTGTCCACACAAATGTTGCCAGCCACCCTCCAGCGGCCCCACCCCCTCGCCCTAGAACTGGGCAGCACCCCCATTCCCACACGCTCCACACTCACCCCAGCCTGCTCCGAGCTGGGCTTCTTTCTCCTTCGTTCTCGTCCGAGCCCCTGTGGACCACCACGGTGGCCTCCATCCAGGCCTGAGCGCCCCGAGGGCCACCTTCTCCTCCGTCACTGCCTTCCAGCCTAGGCTGTCCCTGCCCCGGGGCCAGCAGGGGGCGGGGGTCCTCAGCACAGCCCATGACCCTCATCTCCACGTGGCTGAAGTCGGGCAGGCTCTGGTCATAGGCGGCCTCCTCCCACAGCCTGACGTACGGGGGCTGGGTGCTGCCGGAGGGGCACAGTAGACAGGGTGGGGAGGGAACAGAGAGGTGGGTGGAAAGCACAAGCAGAGCACGCCCTCCCCTGGCCCCGCGGCTCCAGCACGTGGGGTCCCTTAATCTCTCAAGAAGCTTTGGGGAATGCTCCTGTACCCATTCCATGGATGGGGAGGGCGAGGCCCAGCAAAGTAAGTAAATAAAACAGAGGGCTCAGGCCTGCACCAGAGTGTGGCCTAGGCCGGTGTTCCTCTCACTGAGTGTCTCCGAAGTTAACCCACGGCGCGATCACCAAACACACGCTGAGTTAGCACCGTGGGGTCTCTGGGTACCAGACAGCGGCTGAGGGTTGCCCGCTCACCATCTCCTCATGCCCGACAACGCCTAGGAGCAGAGTGGACAGCGTCCACGCACAGAGGCAGCCTCCAGCTACTGCGCTCTGCTTGCCTGCTAGATCGGTCGGTTAGCTCGCTGGTCACCCTCATTCCCGGACAGACTTAGGAAGCTGAGTCATGAGGACTCGAACTGGCTTGCTCAGGGTGACACAGACAGCAGGTGGTGGTGCTTGCTGTCACCATGCTGCAGTTCCTCTGCAAAGTGAGGTGCAGAGGTGTCTCATAAAGTCGCACGGCTGGGAAGTGACACCCAGGGTGGCCTGAGCCCCGGCTCTGCCATGGCAGCCCAGCCTCTGTCACTGGCCCTAAGGTGGAGTATGGGGGCCCCTGTACCCCACTGGGGTCTGTCCACTTCATTCCCAGAGGACTTCGGTTCACCTTGTGTGCCAGGAGCAGGAAATGCCATCACCATTCCTGTCCCCAAGCAAAGTAAGGAGAGTTGCTGAGTCACGGCAGACCCTGGACTGCAGCCCGGCCTTTGAGCTCAGAGGCACGGCTGGGAGGTCAGCTGGTCCCACCACCTTTCCGGGGCCGGAGGGCTGTGACCCCTCCAGGGAGGGAACAGTCTATGCCCCACCAGGCCTGAGTCCAGGCCCTAACTCCATGCAGGTGGAGCCTGAACTCCGTCCTGATGTGGTGCCCCACGGCACTTGGGGCTTGTGATTGCACTTCTCTGAGCCTGCGTCTCCACATCGGTACACAGCACCTAACACCCCACCTCACAGGGCTTTGGTGAGGACTGAAAAGTGGGTGCAAAGGGCCTGCCCCAGTCTCTGGCACACAGGGGCACTTACCAATGATGATCAACACTTTCAGAAGACCTGCTGTGTGCCAGGCTCTGTTCCTGGCACTTTGCACGTATCATCTCATTTAACCCTCCCTGGCATCCTCGGCATAGCGTCCCTGTACGGATGGGGCGGAGAGGTTCGTAGCTCGCCCAGCATCACCCAGCTAGTAAGTGGCAGAGCCGTGGGTTGTGTCCTGGCTGCGTCACCCTCCCGTTTGTTGAGGCACACCTGCCGCTCCCTCTCACTGTGTGTTCCGTGGTGTTTCTGTCTCGCTAAGGCCCTGACAAGACAAAGCCTCTGAGCCCCGGTTTCCTCATCTGTAACATGGGCGTGCTAATGCCTGACTCACCGAGCTACCCATGACTTCCGTGTGCTCCCAGTGAGCAGGAGGGCAAGGCCAGAACCCAGACGAGGGGAGGAAACATCGACCCTCCCTCCGCTCTCCTGTGCAGGGGGAGATTGGCTATGGGGCTCGCTGCCTCGCTCACCTCTTCATCTCAGCGTGCAGCCCACTTTCCAGCAGGCCCAGGGCCTTTGGGGGCAGGATGCCTTGGAAGTCGGAGTCAGCGGGGACAAAGGTGATCTGTGGGACCAAGGGGAGACAGCCTCTCTGCAGCTGGCCAGACAGAGCCAGCTGCCCCATGTGCTCTTGTCCGACCCCAGAGCGTCGGAGCATCAGTGAAGCTCTTGACACATCAGAGGCCTCCCAGGACACAGCACCAGTGGGTAGCAGATCTCTACACTCCACCTGAGCTGGTCTCCATCCACTCAGCAAACGTGGATTGGCACCTACTGTGTGCAGACCCTCTTCTAGCCACAAGGGGGCAGAAGCGAGTGAAAGAGACTTAGCAACCCTTGAAGCGCTCACATTTTGTCATTTCCCAGTGGTCTTCCTCCAGTGGCCGGCACATGCCTGGCACAGAGGAGGTACTTCATCCTTATCTGGTGAGAGTTGGAAGTGGGTCACTGTCACGTTTCTTGTCACAGAGGCTGTGGTGGGGAGCAGACACTTGGCTGCTGTACCCACCAGTTCCTGTCCCTGAACTTCCAGGGCTCAAGAGGTCTTCTGCAAGCCCAGCATGATGGGGTGAGCATGGCGTGGTGGAGGAGGAGGCAGATCATAGACGAGATGGTGGGATGAGGCAGAAGGAGCTCTGCTCTGCCTCCGGAGTCTGGGAGACTGGCTGAGAATTTTCCCTCGGCCAGGTGCTCGCTCAGGTGGTCAGTCCTCCTCCCAGAGGCTCTCTGTACCCCTCTGTGCCATGGGCTGGCCAGGAGGAGAGACTTGCACATCCCTGCTCAGAGCAGCACTGCTCACAATAGCCAAGAGGTAGGAGCTCCCCGAGGTCCACCGAGGACGGAGGGATAAATGACATGTGCTATCCGTGGAGTACTCTCAGCCTTAACAAGGAAGGAACTTCTGAAGTTCAGCATGGATGTTGAGGACCTTATGCTGAGTTAAATCAGCCAGATACAGAAGTGAGGTTCCCCTCACTGGTACCCCTTATGTGAGGTCACTAGGGTGCTCGAGAGCTTAGAGACAGAAAATAGAATGGTGGTGGCCAGGGCTGGGGCAGGGAGGAGTGAGGCCGGTTGTTTAATGGAAATAGAGTTGCCGTCGCTGTTGTTTTCAGTTGCCGGAGGGCACGTGAACAGAGACAGAGAGTGGTAGCGGGATGAAGCACCCCCCCAATTTTATGTGATCACTTCCCAATCCTTTCTCCTCCGTTTCTCCATCTCGTCAGGATTTGGGGCACACACACACGTGCATGCACCTGGCACATTCTTCAAGCCACCAAGGCCAGGATTTGAACCATGGTCAGCCATGTGGAATCTGGCTCCCTTAACCACAGGCTATGGGATCAGCAGTGGGTATAGAGTTTTAGTTGTACAGTATGAAAAGAGTTCTGAAATTGGTTGCACGCCAATAGAAATGTACTTAATACCACTGGACGGCCCATGTAAACATACTGAAGGCAGTAAATTTTAGGTCATGTGTATTGTTTTTGTTTTTTTGTTTGTTTGTTTTTTAGGTTTTTGCAATTGGGCACACACACTCACCAGAGTGGAGAGAGACAGAGAAAGTGAAAGTGAGAAACCACTCCCCGGGGAGGTTGGCCACATTGCAATCTCTTCTCTTCCATTCTCCTCTTGGGATTTTGGGAATGCACGCATTGTCCGCATGTTGGGGACTCAAACTGTGGGCCATGTGGGAGTCCAGTGCCTTAACCACCATGCCACCGGCTGGCCCAGGATGTGTGTATTTTAACACTATTTTGAGAGATTTTTGCTATCGGGTGTGTGTGCTCGCCAGAAAGACAGAGACAGAGAGAAAGAAAGTGAGAAATCACCCCTAGGGAGAATGGCCACGCCGCAATCCCTTCTCCTCCATTTTCCTCTCGGGATCTTAGGCACGCACACACACGTGCCTGGAGTGAGTTTAAGCCACTGGGTCCAGGACTCAAACTGCGGTCGACTACATGGGGACCATGTGACATAGCCATTACATCAACTGCTGATCCCTTTAACACTGTTTTTTTTTTTTTTTTTTAATGGGCTAGTTATGCCCATCTCTTGGGGTTGCTATGAGGATTCTATGGGATATCTGCCATATGAGGAAACCCCCAGCAAGATGCCTGGCATGTAGTAACTGCTCAGTAAATCACAACTCCATGCTACTGAGGATCCAGTCATCTGACTTCTCTGAGTCTTGCTCTCCCCAACTGACCTTTTTTTCCAACAAACATTTGATGAGACCCTACAGCATTACACCAGGCTCATAAACAGAACTCTTTTTTCCTTCCCCGTGTAGAAGGCACTTATCTGCACCAGATAAGCTCCATCCTGGAGGGGAGAAAGATGGATGGAGGGGTTCTCAGAACTATTATGGGAGTGAGCTTCTCCCGGAGGGCTGTCAGTAAGGCAGAGGCCAAGGCATCTTCCAGTGGTTCTAGCCCATTCCATTGCTGAGAACCTGTAAGTGTGATTTATAAAAATAGAGGTTTATTCCGCTCACAGTTTGGAAGTCCGAGGTCCAGGGGCCACTGGTGGGGTCTTGCAATCAATAGGCAAGAGGACAGCAGGGTGGCTGTGTCCATCACTCTCTGTCTCATTCCTTCTATTAATAAACCCACCAGAAATTAACCCAGAGGGCCCCACACTACTGAATTTAATCTGAATCTCTTCCCAAAGGCCTCACCTCTCAACACCATATGTCAAAATGTGTACCCTCTTAATCCCATCACAGCCAAATCTCAACATATCAATTTTGGGGGGACATCCAAATCAGAGCATCCACTCAGGATACTCTGTACTTGCCAGTTGGCCCTGTACTTCCAGGAAGCAGCTCTTCTTCTGCCTCATTACTTCATGATCCATCACCTCCACCACCATCATCATCACCATTACCATCACCATCATCTTCATCATCACCATCATCTTCACCATCACCACCATCATCCCCACCACCATCACCATCAGCATCATCTTCATCACCACCATCATCCCCACCACCATCACCATCATCTTCATCATCACCATCATCTTCACCATCACCGTCATATTCATCATCTTCACCATCACCATCATCTTCTTCATCATCACCATCACCATCATCTTCATCACCACCAGTATTACCATCACCGTCATTATCACCATCATCATCACCACCACCATCATCGTACCAGTGTTACCACCATCATCTTCATCATTGTTATCATCACCACTATCTTCACATCGATATTCTAATCATCACCATTGCTATCTCCACTATCACAATCATCATCATCAATGTTATCACCACCATCACCATCACCACCACCGTCGTCTTCGTCATCACCACCATCACCATCATCTTTGTCACCACCCGTATTACCATCACTATCATTATCATCATCACCACCACCATGATTATCGTACCAGTGTTACCACCATCATCTTCATCATCGTTATCACCACTATCATCACATCGATATTGTAATCATCATCCCATTGCTATCTCCACTATCACCATCATCATCATCAATGTTATCACCACCATCATAAGCACCATCACCATTCTCATTGCCATTGAGAAGCCTGGAGGAGAAGATGTGGCATCTTAGAACACAAGACTTTTCATGAGAGGGAAACACTAGACTTCGGATGTGAAGGAGGAAAACCGTGCGGGTCTTCAGCACCGTGGGCTAGAGAACTGAGCCTTGATCCAGAAGCGAGGAGCCCACAGAAGCTCTCATTAAGAGTCAGATTTGTGTTTAGGCAGAATACTGAGTGGTCCCCAGGGGGAGGGGAGAGCCAAGAGAGGGAGACCCACAGAAAAGACATGCCCTTCACCCACCCATTGGGGTTCTGGTTAAGGGCTCCAGAAAAGCAGGCAGAAGTGGGGGTGAGGGACTCATGAGTAGAGGCTAGAGCCAGACAGGGAGAGGCCCTGTGCTCCTGCTACCCCTTTTCCTCCCCAGCTCCCTTGCCCTCACTCTACCAATGGGCTCAGCCACCCCAGCCTCCCCACTTGAACCCTGAACCCTCTTCCTCTCTCCCATCCAAGACCCAGGTCCACTTTAGAAAGAACAATATAGCCTAGGTGGTCGCAGGTGCAATGCCCAGCCACAGCAGATGGTGGACTGGAGATGTCTCCTCAGATCCTACAGCTCGGGTCCCATGTCTGCCTTAGTCCAGGTGGCTGTCGTTTCTCACCTGGGCCAGAGACACTTCCCCCATGGTCCAGCTGCCCCCAGACCTTCTTTCATCCAGATGTCAGCTTGATAACTTTCTCACGTGGCAAAGCTGTCATGTCCCTCTCTTACCCCTTCAACCAGAGGGGGAGGTCCAGTTCCCTTGGTCCAGCACCCCGGGACCTGGAGAGCCGAGCTCACCCCATCCACTTTGCCCCTGCCCCACACCCTCCAGCAGCCACTCGCCTCATCCTTTCACCACATGTCTGTGACCCTGGCTCTTCCGCTTGGAATGGCTTTTTCCTCCGTCTTCTCTGCTAGCGAACTTCTACTTAACCTATAAAGCCCAGCTCACTGACTCTCTGAAGCCTAATCCCTTCCTACTAGGCAGGAAGTGGTCTTTCCCATTAGACCTCCAACCCCTCAAAAATGGGGACAGATTAATTCATGGTAGAACTGGCTAGCCCCACCCGCATATCCTGATTAGCTCATTTTATTGCCTTGTCTTCATTTTTTTTTCAATCCAGAAAAGTCCCATTTACTGATGCCTTGAGTAAATGAAGTTCTGAGAGCCAGGGGACCCTGGACCCGCCTCCAGGGTGTCTCCCTGGTTTACAACACAACCTCCTCCCTTCTCTCCCCTGGGTGGAGTCAACCTGTGCTAGCCCTAATAGTCTGCAGCCCTGAAACACTCACACACACACACACACACATACCAGTGCCACAAACACCGATCCTGAGAACAATGTCTTCGCATCTACTCTGCACCAGGCATGACGCCAGGGCCCCCCTGTCCCTATCACACACACACACACGACCCAAGGCTTCCTCCAACTTGGCCTGCAAGGTGCAAGGCTGGGGGGACTCTGCCAAGGTCACAGCTGTGAGATGCAGGGGAGCAGGGATTTGAATCTGGACCTGCTGGGCACTAAAATGCATGCCCCCACACACACACCGCCCCTACGACACGTGAACCCGCGAGTCTCTCAACAGTTACTCATTAATACCCAGCCCGATTCCCTCTGCCTGCGTCCTCCCCTCACCGGCCGCTCACCACTCGGGTTACCCTGCCCACCACCTCAAAGTCCCCTCGTGTGACAGGGAGGACAGGAAGGATGCTCTCTCCACACCCCCACTGCAGACTTCCATCCTCACTGGGAGGGGTTCAATGGCAGTGGTGACATGGGTAGCCCTGGCCCCAAGGACCTCTTCTGCCCATGACCTCTGCTCAGGGCATTCACAGACTGAGGCGAGTTGACTGTAAACTGCTTAGTAAATGGCTACAAACCAGTGCTGACCGCCCAGGCACCAAACACGCTGACAGCCCGGGGCTGGGCCGCGGAGAGGGCAGGGCTGGGGCGGGTGCTCCTCCCCCCACCCCGCAGCCCTGAGCACAGCCGCCCAGGCAGGAAGTGGAGAGGTGCTGGGGGTGGGCTGGTGGGCTACCGGGGCCTGGCTGTCAGAGCAAGCAGAGCAGTCAGATACACCCTTCTCCTGCCACCCCATCTTCCCAATCACACACTGTGCAAATGAGGACACTGAGGCTCAGAGAGGGAAGGGGCTGAGCAAAGTCTCCCAGGCAGTGGAGACCAAGCGCAGGTTAGCATCCTTCTTTCCCTCCTTGTCTCCTCCCTACGTCTGTCTCTGACCAGCTGGGTGACCTCGGAGGAGTCACTCAGCCTCTCTAGGCATTAATGAAAGGTTTACAATCCCTGACACATCCATTCTGCAGAGCTGTTGGGAGGACCGTTAACAGTAACTTCGCCTAAATATCACACTCTACAAAACCCTCCTGTACCCCATCTCTTCCCTGATCTTCATAATAGCTCCGTGAGGCTGTGCAGGATAGGATCTGGGGCTCCGTTCTGCAGATGAGAAAAGCAAGGCTCAGAAGACGACTACCACAGACATCGGAACAGACTGCGAGAACTCCCCGAGCTCTCCCCACCACCAAGTTGCTTGTAAGACCAGGAGCGCACGAGACCGCAGGATGGAGCTCGGGACACTGCGCGGTATCAAGGCTGCCACTGACCTCAGAACCCTCGCTCTGAGACATGGGGGTGGAAGAGGACCAAGTGATGCTCTAAGTCTTAGGCATCTGTGCTCCGGGCCACGCTCTGCTTCTTAGCTCTGGGACCTCCTCTTTCTGAGCTGCAGGTGTGTCCGCTCCACGAGGGGCCTCCAGAAGGAACAAAGCCTGGCCCAGGAAGGGGCTGCACCACAGCCTGAGCGCAGGGGCTCCTGGAAGGTGGTGAGGACTCCTTGCCTTTCTTTCAAGCACGTGGGTCATGCATGGCATTTCACTGTGTCTCCCCCATGGTGTCTGGTTACGTTTCCAGATCCAGGGGCTTCTGATCCATCCTTGTGACAAGGGATGGACAGATGGCTGGATGGGTGCTCAGGCCAACAGAGAGGAGAAAACACCAAATCAAGATAGGGAATGAAGGGTCAGCAGATGGCATGATGGTTACGTTGTTGGACTCCCACGTAGTTGACCCAAGTTCAAGTCCTGGACCCGGCAGCTTAAACTCACACGGGGTGCATGTGCACACATGCCCAAAATCCCAAGAGGAGACTGGAAGAGAAGGGATTGTGGCATGGCCATTGTCCCTAGGGGATGAGTTCTCTCTTTCTGTCTCCCTGTCTCTGTATCTCCAGCAAGTGCACGCACCCCATAGCAAAAATCTCTCAAAACAAAACAAAACAAATAAAACAAATGGGAAATGAAAAGACCTGGGTGGGAGTTGATGTGCAGATCAGAGGCACAGTCACCAGCCCTCCTGGCCTCCAGCCCCAGGTGACCTGGCCCCAACCAACCCCACCACCTACCTTGGGGTAGCATTGGCACATGCTCCAGATGACACCCCCAATCACCATGACACCGCCCATGGCATAGAAGGTGCCATAGACCTGGGGCCGATCGTGGCTCATGAGGAACGTGCCGAGGGCCAGTAGGAAAAACCCCAGCACGATGAAGCCGATGCGGAAGGTCTTCTCATCAGTCATGGCCGCCTGGCTGGGTCCTGGCCCGTGCACCCCTAGCACTGGCAGAGGGGGTGCCGGCAATCCAGCCTAAATGCCCGGCAGGCCCACACAGGATTGGATGAAGCTCCGGGATCGCTGCAAATCGAGGCCTCAAGTTAAAAGGAGGGCAGGTTCCCTTCAGGTCCGGCTCCAGTCCCCAGGCCCACAGTCCAATGGGGCTGGAGGTAGCATGCTTCAGTGACCCGTGCGCCCAGCCACCTACCTTCACTCCTCACCCTCTCACCTTCCCTCTGGGCCTGGAGTGTGTGTTTGTGTGGATCTGAGTGAGGGAGGAGGCAAGAGAGGGAAAGGGGAGGTGACCGGGCTTGGACACCAGCTGAGGCTGTGACATCACCTCATTTGCCTAGTGTGGGGCTGAGCCAGGTGGACTGGCGGCCCCACGCTGCCCAGTCTTAGGAAGTAGGGACAAATCTGCAGCCAGGAGATGTTAGGATGCCGCCGAAGCCTTCCAGGGTCCCATGGGCCAGCGTTTTGCAATTCTGAAGAATTCTAAACTCTTCAAGGACATTCACCAACCTAAGCTTCAGGAAAAATAGCCCACGTGGACAGGATGATGCCTACATGTAACATGTTCTAAACATGCTATAGTTACCCACTCACTGAAGGGAAACCCCAAGAAGCAGGTACTAGGAGGCCACTTCACAGATGAGGACATTGAGGCAGGGACAAGTAACATGCCCAAAGTCACATAGCCAGAACTGGCCAGGTGCTGAGGGTTGAGCCCGAGGCTGTGTGCCTGGCTACCACACAACACTGCTGAGCTGCAGCATGAGGGTTAGAAGCGCAGGCTCCAGGGACCAGCAGTTGGCCTAATGGTTACATCACTGGACTCCCACGTAGTCAACTGTAGTTCGAATCCTGGACCCAGCACCTTGAAACTCACACCGGGCGCATGTGCATGCGTGCCCCAAATCCCAAGAATAGAGTCGCAGAGAAGGGATTGCTGCGTGGCCATCCCCCCAGGCGGTGATTTCTCGCTTTCTGTCTGTCTCTCTGGTGAGAACACATGCCCCATAGCAAAAATCTCTGCCCCCCCCCCAAAAAAATAAGTAACTAAGAAGTACAGGCTCTGGAGCCAGTAGGTGGCATGGTGGTTAAGACCTTGGAGTCCCACATGGCCAACCAAGGTTCAAGTCCCAGACTTAGTGGCTTGAAAAATCATTCTGGGCACATGTGTGTATGAGCTGAAAATCCCAAGAGGAGAATGGAGAAGAAGAGATCGCCATTCCCCCTAGGGGGTGATTTCTCACTCCCCCCCATCTCTGTCTCTCCCTCTCTCTGCAGCAAGCTCACATGCCCTATGGCAATAATAATATTTTTTTTTTAAGTGCAGACTCTGGGGCCAGACACTGGCACAGCAGTAATATCCAGTGCTCTGTGAGGTTGACCATGTGAGAAAGTTTCAAGTTCGGGTCTGGAGACTGCCCTGTGTGTGCCAGGCACGTGCATGCCCACGATCTAGTGGGAACTGAAGCCGGGGTAGATACTGTATCAAGACCTTGCTGAGAGCATTCTGTCTCTGTCTCTGTCTCTTTCTGGTTCACATAAGAGTAGACTTAAAAAAGAAAACAAAAAACAACAAACAGAGCAGGCTCTGATACAAGGCAGATTGCCCGGGCTTGCATTCTGGTTCTTCGATGCCGGGACAGTCGGGTCTTCATGAAATTACCAGCCTGTGCCTCCACCTGTCCCTCTGCAAAATGGAGAGAGTGATGCCCCCTCCCAGGGCCTGGCCTCCTAGTTCCTCTGCCCCCTTCACACTCTGTACACCGTCCATACCCAGTCATCATGAGGTTGCCCCCAACACCCCACTCCTGCAGGGTGTGAACGACTGACAGCAACTTCCTCGGTTAGCTAGGAAGACGCCTTCATCCTTAGAACGACATTCTAAGGATGGAGTTTCAGTCCTGGGGACAGCTGATAGGGGAAATCCGATTCCCTTATAGAATAGTGGGAGAATGAGGCCACTGGTAGCTCTAAGAGGACATTCAGGGCAGTCTTTATGGGGTTAATGCAGAATAAAAGGCTTTCATTTGGCTTCCTGGCTCGCTGAGTTCAGGATGTTCCTGTTCGAGGCCACCCCCTTGTCCTCGCTCCCCAGCCAGGGTGGTGCGTGGGACACGCTCATGCTCACACCAGACCCTCGGCCTGCTACTCCTTCCCACAGTCCTTTTCCAGCTGCAGATTTCCTCCACACTCACCCACCAACACCTGCCCTCAGAGCCTTCCAGGTGCGCCGACAGGCTGCAGAGGTGGTCCCCTGGGGCAGAGCTCAGTCACTGTGGGCAAGAGAACCCTGAGGGGTCAAGAAAGGGCTGGGAGTCACATCACATCCAGGCCTGGTTTCCAGGGTGCACTTAGGCAGGTGACTGCCACGGGCTTGAGTCTTGTCACCTGTGGCTCGAGATGCTTATGAAGCCACGGTCCTGGTACTGTACCAGGACTGGGGAGAGGGGGTGGGATGGGGGTGTCATCTGTGATTATTAACAGGGTCCACCCTCCAAGGGAGCACTCTTACCATTCTCTAATAGAGGTTCAGAGGTGGAAATGAGGTCTGGGCCGCCTAGCTGGTGCCCTTCCCTGAAAAGGAGACAGAGGCCCAGAGGGACCTCAGCTGCTCTGGAGCCTGGGGGGAGAGCTCTTTACCCCTTTTCCCTTGGAGTCACTCCCACTCTTTAAAGGGGGAGTGGTGACAACGAGTAAGAAACTGGGACAACTAGGTGCTCAGCTCAGCAGATCTAATGTCACTTATTCCTTACAGTCGTGACGAGAACTAAGTGGGGGAATTTATGCAGGGTGCCGGGGAAATGTTCCGTTACAGGTGTCGCGGTCCCACAACCCGCGCGTCTCCTCCGACTTCACCCCGCCCCACCGCAAAGCACAGAGATGGAAGGAGTGCAGGAGTCGGCCATCGTCCAGCAGAGGGCGCGCCAGCACTGCTTTCCTCCTCTAAGGCACGCAGGATCCTAGGAGACCTTCCAAAGGGGGAGGGAGGGAAGAACACGCTCACTTGACAGATGCAGAAACTGAGACCCACCCCCGTGGGTGAGCGCTGGCTTCAGGGATGGATGGCACTGGGTCCTAAAAATCCCCCTGGGCACCATATAAGGTTCCCAGATGTGCGTGAGGTCCAGCCTGTGCAGGACGAGAACAGAGGGACCTCCTAGGGAAGGGAGCGTCACCGGGCAGATTCACCAAGAGACCCTGGAGAAGCCAGTGGGCGCGCCGACGGGGCAAGGAACAGCGTTCCAGGCAAAGGCCCAGCACGTGCAAAGGCACAGAGGCCACTGAAATGTGGCTGCAGGTACATCTCCAAACGCTCTCCACAGGCTGGCTCCCACTGCTGCTCCTCCCCAGCCCGGCTTCTCCCACATCCACTCCATCCTTGCAGTGAGGCATCCAGGCTGCCCACGCGGCTTCACGCCACTCCCTGTCGTACATGACCCGCAAAGCCCTAAGGAATTTGCCCCTGCTGCCCACCCTCTCGTGTCCTACACACCTCCTGTCACCTCACCCCAGCCACCCTGGCTCCGTGCTGTCCTAGAACACACCAGCACCCAGGGCCTTTGCACCTGCAGCCCTCTTACCTGGAAGGCTCTTCCTCCAGATACCTGCTCCCTCCTTTACCTCCCTCACAGGGAGGCCACCCTGCTTCAGCTGTGCTCTGAAACTGCAGAGGGACTGGACGGTGGAGCAGCAGTGAAACGGCACTCTGCAAGGCACTCCCACGTGGGAAGGTTCCCGGTTCAAGCCCAGAGAGCTCCCAGAGTACATGGGACACACATGTGTCCGTGACTGGCTAGCTGGTGCTGGGGGTGGGCTGCAGGGTTGGACCCCCATTGGGTATGCGCGCTCTCTCTCTCTCTCTCTCTCTCAGGAGAATAAATAAATACAACTTTAAATAAATAAACAGCTAACTAGATAAAACTGCAGAACCCCCTCCCCAGGCCTCCTGTCTCTCTTCCCAATCTACGTTTCTCCGTAGTTGTGCCATCTCTCATCTGTAGACACTGTTTACTCGTCACTTACCTGTCTCCCAGCTAGAACCCAGGCCCTGCAGGGCGGGGACTTGGTTCTGCTCACTACTGTCCCCAGGGGCTGGAACAGGATGGGCTCTGGATACAGATTTGTGGAGGGAGGGGTGGAAGGTGAGCACCAGAGCACCCGAGAGGGACGCAGGCAGACCTCCTGAGGTCCTGCTGAGGACTGACATCATTCAAACTCCACCCAGAAGCCTCTAGAGGGATTAACCAGGGGAGAGACAAAAATCCGATTTTAATTTTTCAATTGGGGGAGAAAGATTCGAGCGAGCAACAACGAGCTGCTGGGGAAGTAGCAGAGGCGATTTCTGACTGCGATGGGCTGAGGTAAGGTGGACAGTCCAGGGGTGGGTGTCTAGAGGGTCACAGAAGCCCAGGAGGGGCCCAGGAAAGCATGGGAGAGGCCTGAGCTCTGAGGGGCCCCGACTGGCCAAAGATGTGAGGCCTAAAGGTGGGGGGGAGATAGGGGAGACAGGACACAGGTATCTTCCTCCAGGAAGGAGGTCCAGGAGGAGGGACCAGGATCAAGGTTGCTCCCACTGCAGGCTTCTGCCTTCTGGGCATAATATGCAAAGGCTCTGAGCAGGGGTGAGGTCCAGCACCCTGCCAAGGCTACTAGGCCCCTCGGTGCACAGTCAGGCCACTATGGCTAAGGGACAGTCACTCAGTCTCGGTCAGGACTCCTCTCTCCCGAGCTTCAGCTCAGCCTCCAAGTCATTGGTGACCTTGTGCAAGTCACTGCCCCTGTGGAGTGCCTTCTCTTAGGACTGATGGCAGAGAGAAGGGCACAAAAGTCCTTATGTGGTCCCCTCCCCCTGCCTGCCCTTCCCGCTCTCCTTGGTGAAAGCGGTGCCTCCTGGTCACACCTGCAACTCATTAACTCCCCTGCCCTGGGGGAAATTCTTTTTAGGGGCAGGAGATCCTGCCATCATTAACCCTTTAGGAGGTAAGTGTGTGTGTGTGTGTGTGTGTGTGTGTGTGTGTGTGTGTTGGGACCAAGGCAGGATTCAAACCTCTATCTCCAGACTCCTAGATTGTCCTGGGGTAATAGAGGAGAGGGAGACGGGACCAGCAGTTAGCGTAATGGCTATGTCGCTGGACTCCCACGTAGTCGACCACTGTTCAAGTCCCGGACCCGCTGGCTTAAACTCACGCCGGGCGCGTGTATGTGTGCATGCCCAAGATCCCGGGAGGAGAAGGGTGGCCATCCCCCCTGGGGGGTGATTTCTCGCTTTCTGTCTCTCTGTCTCTGTCTGGTGAGTGCACATGCCCTACAGCAAAAAACCTCTCCCCCCCCCAAAAAAAAAGTAGAGGAGAGGGAGGCAGGGGAGTACAGAGGGGGTCCAGGATTTGGTGATGCAGGAGGGGGAGTTTGGCTTCTGGAGAGAGGGGCGCAAGAGCAAGGCCCCGTGGACAGAGGGAGTGGCAGCTGGTGAGGGGTTGGGAGGGAGGGCAGCCCCAGCCCCTCCCTGGACCCTCATAAGAGTTTCCCTTGTTCAAAGGACCTGGGCGTGCAGGGTTCTGAGTCAGGAAGACTTGCTCGGACCTGTGTTTGAAAGAGCTCGCTCTGGCTACTGAGCTGAGAAGCGACTGCAGACAGGGGTGGCTGGTGCAGAAGCAGGGAGCCCCGGAGGGGCAGCTACTGCACCAGTCCAGGCCTAGGTGGAAGGATCCCAACCCTGGGGCCCAGCCAGGCAGGAAAGAAAACCCGGCCTCTGTCTGGGATTCTACCTCTGAGGCAGAGGACCCGGCTCTTGGGGGTGTCACCCTCATCCAGCTGCCTGAGCCCCAGGCTTTTCACCCTCTGCTAGCTGTGTGACCTGAGAAGGTCACTTCACCTGGGCTTTCTCATCTGAAAATGGGGTGGGGTGGAGATGCGGGCATGCAGAATGTACCTGGACTGAAAGGAGACATTTCTGCACGCCTGGGAAGCAGGGGGAGGCGGTCAGGAGGTGCAGGAGCACGGCTGGACTTGTACCGGGTGCACTGAAACCTGACAGTCACTGCAGACCTAACAGGCCCCTGGCCCTGGGCTACGTTTGCATTTGTCAGACTCAGCCTGCAGGGTCACTGTGAGCTCAGTGTAGACTTCTGTCACCTCAGTCAATCCTCAGCTCCCTGGGGTAGAGGCTGTAATTCCCAGTTGCCACTGTACAGGTGAGAAAACGGAGCCAGCGTAGCAAAGTGGCCTCGCCAAGGTCCCTGAGCTGGTACTTGTTTGAACTACTCCCACAGAGGCGGTTGGAATTCCAAGTCCGTGTTCTTCGGTTATAAACTCAGTGTGTGAACTTGGGCCACCACCACCTCTGCCTCCGTGCCCTAGTTTCTTATCTGCAGTCTCCCA